CCAAGATCGCGCCATTGCACTCCAGCCTGGGCAACAAGAGCAAAAACTCTGTCTCAAAAAAAAAAAAAAAAAAATCAATGATAAAGAGTAAATTCCAAACAATTATATTTAATTCCAGAAAAGTAAAAACTCTGGATCTAAAGATCATAAAATCTAAGCTGCTCTTATAGAGTTTCTTTAAATAAACTTTTTTTTTTTGAGACAGAGTCTCACTCTGTCACCTAGGCGGGAGTGCAGTGGCACGATCTTGGCTTACTGCAACCTCCACCTCCTGGGTTCAAGTGACAGTCCTGCCTCACCTCCCGAGTACCTGGGGCTACAGGTGCCAGCCCCAACAACTGGCTAATTTTTGTATTTTTAGTAGAGACGGGTTTCACCATGTTGGCCAGGCTGGTCTTGAACTCCTGACCTCAAGTGATCCACCCACCTCAGCCTCCCAAAGTGCTGGGATTACATGTGTGAGCCACCACGCCTGGCTCTTCTTTCTTTCTTTTCTTTTTTTTGAGACTATCTCGCCCTGTTGCCCAGGCTGGAGTGCAGTGGTACGATCCCAGCTCACTGCAACTTCCACCTCCCAGTTCAAGCAATTCTTGTGCCTCAGCCTCACAAGTAGCTAGGTCTACAGACATGCACCACCATGCCTGGCTAATTTTTGTATTTTTAATAGAGATGGTGTTTCACCATGTTGGCCAGGCTGGTCTCAAACTCCTAACCTCAGGTGATCCACCCGCCTCAGCCTCCTAAAGTGCTGTGATTACAGCTGTGAGCCACCATGTCTGGCCAAAAACATCTTGATAAACTGTTGCTGGGCAGAATAGCAGCTTGAGTTCGTACTGATGATTCTGTTTGCAATCTATGTGTTTTTCTATTTTCCTCGAGTCCACCAAACTGAAGGGGTGTTTTAAAACTTTACCAAGTTAACCATGAATATATAATAATATTTCAGCGCTTCAACAAACAGCAGCACTTTGAATGTGATGTGAAATCCAAACAGGATAGCAGTCACTCATTCATATTACATGGACTATGACCAACAGGAAATTATGTTCTGAGGTAATAACATTAGATCATCCAGAAAGTGGAAATAATTTAAAACATGCAATTGTGAGATGTTGGATAAATAAATGATCCATTTCACTAATATTTATTAAGCACTTTCTAATCAATCCCTATGAGAAACAAATCTCCATCATAAAATTACCATAAAAGATAGCTATCGGCCAATTTCCCTCAGGAATAAATCTGAAGATAAACACACACATATACCATCTTGAGAGTCAGAAAGATAATTGGATTATTATGGTGTTAAGGGTGAACATGTGTCTGCCCTTTACTCTGATTAACTGGCAAAGATGGTGAAGTAAGTGGGCTTGTTGTGATGCAGAGCTGTGAGGCTCCAGTAAATTGCACCAACTATTAGCAGGCATCTTGGGAAAAAACCTGGAGAATTATTTAAGGCTTACGTTTCATTTAGAGAATAAAAATAGCAAGCACCTCAGCCACTTGAGTTTCTGGTTTCTTTTCTATCAGCGCCCCTTAGTGGTTGAATGACTGAATGGCCTTTTGGGCAGAACTAAACCTGAAGAGAGACAGTAATGGATGGGTGGACTCACCTAATGGCCTCTTTGATGGTAATCATAATGCCACCTTGAGTGGCAGCTCTAAACTGACACAGAGAGTGGAGAGAGGGCACAGCTTTGTCCAACCCTGCAAATCCTTTCAGGCTGGCAATTGCCTTCTTCCTTTCCAGCTTCCCCAGAATCCATAATAAGATTTCTTGGCAAAGTGACCTGGCAGAAAAAGCAGTTATGAATGAGCTTGTCATCTTACTCCATGCATCTAACAAGCTAACATAAAAAAAGAAAGAAAGGCTGTCAGGTTCCACTGCATTTTAAATGCTGGCACGATCTCCTAGTACTACTGAAATGCAGGAGTGGAAAGTATGCTTCTTGTGAATTTCAGAATGCAAATATCCTGAAATTCAATGACTGACTGACTAATCCTTGGCTCTGGCAGCAACCCTGATTTGCCACATGAGCCCCACGTGATTTTTTTTTTTTTTCGGTAATTCCAAGTGTACTACTGCCTTTGCATCAGGTACTGTCAAAGAAAGTACACACGGATAAAAATCATCTACTCTCAGCAAGACCAATAGCTGGAGACCAAGAAACTGCATACCAACAAAATATTGCTGATACCTCAACTCCTTTCATCTGTGTCAATCAACTAGAAGAGGAACTATATCAATGTTCACATGTTCCTTGTCTGTCTCTGATGAGGACATGACAGTGCTGTGAGGACTTGAGTTTTAAAACAAAAACCAGAGGCCAGGCGTGGTGGCTCACACCTGTAATCCCAGCATTTTGGGAGGCTGAGGCGGGTGGATCATCTCAGGTCAGGAGTTCGAGACCAGCCTGGCCAACATGGTGAAACCCCATCTCTACTAAAACTACAAAAATTAGCCGGGCGTGGTGGCAAGTGCCTGTAATCCCAGCTACCCAGGAGACTGAGGCAGGAGGATTGCCTGAACTCAGGGACGGAGGTTGAAGTGAGCCAAGATCGCACCACTGCACCCCAGTCTGGACAACAGAGTGAGACTCCGTCTCAAAAAACAAAAAACAAACAAAAAAAACAAGAGTTATTTTGTGGACTGTCCCTTGAAACCAAGTTCACAGATGTACAGCCTCCCTCTTCCACTGCATTCTCTTGTCATTGCCATTGTGGCTGTGGGCTATAGTGACGTGCTGACTCAAGCTGAAGAGCCAAGGGCACTATGTAAGCTTTGAATAGTACAAAAGATGGTGTTTTCCTTCACCACTTAGCAATGGTGATAATGATAGCTACCATTTATTGAGCTTACTATTTGCCAGGGACTGTGCTAAACATATTAATGCATATTGAGTCTTTACAATAACTTTGCAAAGAAGATACTATTATTGTATATTGGATTACATGTGAGGCTCTCCAAACACCAAAAATCATAATTCTATAGTACTTGAGATAAGATAACTCTTACCTGGAGGAAGAAACAACATAAATTACTGTGAAAATATAGCTGATATAAAATGAATCCTACTTAAATTCTATGACAAAGGAGTATTTTCTGGATGACTAAGAAATCCCTTCTTTCTAAACAACACACTGTATCACCAACACCAAATCCCAGGCTAAATACAAAGTGCCACATTCAGATCTAGATTTCCCAAACATGTTTTCTAACTCCCCACAAGGTCATTATGATCCATCCCCTATTTCCTCCTTCCTAGACATGTAATTGCAGTATTTCTCACTGATCGAAAAATGGCATGTTTACACGTGTAAACAGAGATTTTGTCTTTGAGATTTAGGACAGAGGCTGAGGAAAGTCATTGTAAAAACTGTATCCAATGCCCTGTGATCTGCAAAATTCTTGTTCTTTTCCAGATGAGCAAAATAGGAAGATCCCAGTGTTTTCCTGACTTTGAAAGGAAATGATAATTTCAAAGTGGCAAATATAAATTCAAAATAAGAACAAAAACAACATGCAAAAAAGACGTCACAATTTATAAACAAGTAAGATTCTATTTATAAACAAATAAGGGTCCCTTGATTGTTTACCTTATGTGAGAGACACTCTGCTTAGTAAAACAGTAGAGAAGAAAAAGCACTCCCAGGACAGGAAGCAGAGAATCCATCAAAACTGTTAAAGGTTCATTCCCAACCACGTACACCTAGAAAAAAGGAAATGGTGAAGAATAATCCCATGACTGCCTGGCCAGAGCAATGGGGATCACACACCAAACACCTAACAAGGCTCAGTGTCTTCAGCAGTATCTCCTCCGAATCACACCATTTTAGCTCCAAGGATGTGCTCAGACATGGCAATGAAACCATTTGAGTTTGGCAGACAGGCTGAAACGAGAGTGAACTGGAACAGCACCATTTCATGTGTGCAGTCTCTAGACCTGCCCAGAATCGGTCAACTACCCCGCTTTCTGACCTCTTCCTTTCCTACTTTTGGCTACGTCTGAGTTTCCTAATCTACCTATTGTTTAACTATATAACTGTCCTACTGCTGAAGGCCCTGCTATTAGGAACAAGTAATTACTACCAAAGGGAAAAACTTTAAACTAGATTTGGAAAATCAAACCAAACCAAACCAAACCCAAAACACTGCTGACTCCAGTTTCATCACTCTTAAGATGTGACCACCACATGGAAATGTCCTATTCTCCCTAATTCTATAAATGTTCAAAGAAATTATACTGTAGGGCTGGGCACAGTGGCTCATGTCTGTAATCCCAGAATTTTTGGAGGTCACGGAGGTAGGATTGTTTGAGGCCAGAAGTTCAAGCCTAGCTGAGCAACACAGTAAGACCCCATCTCTACAAAAACATTTAAAAATTAGCCAGGCTTGGTAGTGCATGCCTACAGTCCCAACTACTTGGGAGGCTGAGGCAGAAGGATGGCTTGAGCCCAGGAATTCAAAGCTGCAATAAGCTATGATCATGCTACTGCCCTCTAGCCTGGGCGACGGAGTAAGACCCTGTTTCTTACAAAAAAGAGAAAAGTAATTGCACTGTTCACCTAGATCTGTACTGGCTCTACACAGTTAAGTGTGTGAGGATGCTAACTACTGCCTATGAAAAAAAGTAAAAAAAAAAACCAAAAAACAAGTATGTGAGGATGGTGACTTTTATTAACAATCACAATGTTGCATGTTTTAGTTGTACCTTTCAATAAGGCTAGAACAAATGCATTCAATTCAATAAACTTTTACTGAACACTCACTGGGTTCAAAGCACTGTTTTAGGTACTGTAGTGAATATAAAAATCAGTAAGGGTCATTATCCTTCATATTGCTTGTGATATATGGGAAGAATAAAAAAAGTAAAACTATTATTATTATATTTGAGATGCGGTCTCTCTCACCCAGGCTGGAATGTAGTGGTGCAATCACAGCTCACTGCAGCCTCAATCTCCAAGCTCAAGTGATATTTTCATCTCAGCCTCCTGGGTAGCTGGAACCACAGGCACACACCACCATGCATGGCTAATGTTTTGTATTTTTAGTAGAGCTGGGGTTTTGCCATGTTGCTCAGGCTGGTCTCAAACTCCTGGGCTCAAACAATCCTCCCATCTTGTCCTCCCAAAGTGCTGGAATTACAGACATGAGCCACTGCACCCAGCCAAGTAAACCAATAATAATAATAATAATAATAATAAGGCAGATAATTGAAAGTATCTTAAGAAGTACAAAAATGTTATTCAAAACTCCAGTTAAACACAATAGGATTTCAAAATGTAATTCTGTTATAAGAAGTTAATTTAAACCTGATAGTATGGATAGTGATAATGGTAAAAAGAGAAAGAAAATGAGCTGACAATGATTATGATCATGGTATATGTTCCGGAAACCATGATAGGTTTTTATCTTTCAAGCACTATACTAGATTCTTTAAAGAGCTAGCTCGTGCCGGGCGCAGTGGCTCAAGCCTGTAATCCCAGCACTTTGGGAGGCCGAGACGGGCGGATCACGAGGTCAGGAGATCAAGACCATCCTGGCTAACACGGTGAAACCCCGTCTCTACTAAAAAATACAAAAAACTAGCCGGGCGAGGTGGCAGGCGCCTGTAGTCCCAGCTACTCGGGAGGCTGAGGCAGGAGAATGGCGTACGTAAACCCGGGAGGCGGAGGTTGCAGTGAGCTGAGATCGTGCCACTGCACTCCAGCCTGGGCGACAGAGTGAGACTCCGTCTCAAAAAAAAAAGAGCTAGCTCGTTAAAATCATAACAATCTCACAAAGTCAGTACTAGCGGCCCTATTTTGAGAGTGAAAGGGGCCCAGTGTGATGGCTTACACCTGTAATCCCAGCACTTAGGGAGGCCAAGGAGGGAGGATCACTTGAGCCCAGGAGTTTGAGAACAGCCTGGGCAACATGGTGAGACCCCATCTCTATAAAAAATAAAATAAGAGAGGGGGGAGGGGGGAGGGGGGAGGGATTGCATTGGGAGTTATACCTGATGTAAACGACGAGTTGATGAGTGCTGACGAGTTGGGTGCAGCATACCAACATGGCACAAGTATACATATGTAACAAACCTGCACATTATGCACATGTACCCTAGAACTTAAAGTATAATAATAAAAATAAAAATAAATAAAAAATAAATAAAATAAAATAAAAGGGAAGGGAAGGGAAGGGAAGCTCAAAGAAGCCCTTATTTATAGAAAGAGTTTTGAAGTAGGAATCAATGTTGTTCATGAAACTAAAGGTCATGGAGGTACTTTCATGAGCTGGAAAAATCTCTGTGCTTTTCCAGTGAGTCCTGTCTCTTAAAAATCAACCCTAATTTTTCACATCCCTTAAGCCTCCTGACTCCTCTCTGGAGCCTGTTAGCCAAGGAGCCAGCTTCCTGTGCATGATCTAATCTCCGTAAGCCCAGCTAAATGAAGTGCTGTGTACAGCAGCGTTCAGAAGTCATGTACAGGCCTAATGATGAAATCACCAATTACAGGAGGCAAAAGAAGAGATTCTTCCAGATAACGTAAAGACCTATTGTTCGGCTTTGGATCCTGTGTTCTCAGAGGTAATCCCTGTGGAGCCATCCTTCCTTACCAGGATTTTTTGTACAAAAAATAATAAACCCCCAAACAAGAACAACAAAGAAAACAAAAACAAATGGAGTTAAGTCTTCATTATTTACTGGCTTAATAGGGCCAAAGCACCCCAAACTTTAACAAGAACTCAACTGAGCACATTCCTCAGGGATATATGTTGTTGCTGATAAATTCCTCTGATTTGGCCAGGGGCAGTGGCTCACACCTATAATCCCACCACTTTGGGAGGCTGAGGCGGGCGGATCACCTAAGGTCAGGAATTCGACACCAGCCTGACCAACATGGTGAAACCCCGTTTCTACTAAAAATACAAAGTTAGCAGTGCGTGGTGGCACATGCCTGTAATCCCAGCTACTTGGGAGGCTGAGGCAGGAGAATTGCTTGAACCCAGGAATTGGAAGCTGTAGTGAGCCGAGATCATGCCACTGCACTCCAGCCTGGGCAACAAGAGTAAAACACTGTCTAAAAAAAAAAAAAAAAAAAAAATCCACTAATTTTTTGTTTGCTTCTTCCTTATACTTTTCTATATCTTCTTATAAGGAACAAGTACTACTTGTGCCTAAAATTTAGAAAATAATGTACAGCAATTTATACATATGTTATTTATTTTTGTGTAAAGGTTCAACAAATGTTTATTGAGTGCCACTTTTGTGCTAGCACACTTATAGCCCTGCAGATACGGTGCTGAACAAAGTATCTGCTTCAAGGAGCTAACATTCTAGTTGAGGAGGCAGGCAAGAAAAACCAACTATACAATACCAGGTAGTGACAAGTGCTAGGAGGAAAAATAAAGCAGGTTAAATGGATAACGATGAGGGGAAGAACATGCGGAAAGAGAGAGAAAAATTAAGAATAGCCTTTATAGGCTGGGTGCAGCGGCTCATGACACCTGTAATCCCAGCACTTTGGGAAGCAGAGGTGGGTGGATCACGAGGTCAGGAGTTCGAGACCAGCCTGACCAACATGGTGAAACCTGTCTCCACAAAAATACGAAAGTTAGCTGGAGGTAGTGGTGCACACCTGTAATCCCACCTACTCGGGAGGCTGAGGCAGGAGAATTCCTTGAACCCAGGAGGTGGAGGTTGCAGTGAGCCGAGATCATACCATTGCACTCCAGCCTGGGCAATACAGCAAGACTCCGTCTCAAAAAAAATTAAAAAAATAAAAAAGAAAAAAGAATAACCCTTATCAATTTACCAACTAGAATCTATCAAGTTCACAGATAGAAACAGAGAAATAAGACTTTTTTTAAGTGAAAAGATTTAGAATTAAGGCTTTCTTTTGGTTCAATCTGATAAATAAATGTTTTCTACAGTATCTTAAAGAATGTCAGTGGCCTCTCCTTGATCTATACACAATTGCCACCTCCCTTCCAACAATAATAGTAAATTTCTTCTGTACTGAATTCAAATCTACCTCCCTTTAAACTTCCTTGATGGAAGTACATGTATTCTTTACAAGTTTTGGGCTGGGTGCAGTGGCTCATGCCCATAATCCCAGCACTTTGAGGCTGAAGTGGGAAGATCACTTGTGCCCAGGAGTTCAAGACCAGCAACATAGCATGACCCCCATCTCTACAAAAAATAAAAATTAGCTGGGCATGGTGGTGCATGCCTGTACCCCCAGCTACACAGGCGGCTAAGGCAAGAGGATCTCCTAAGCCCAGGGGCTTGAGGCTGCAGTGAGCCACAGCACTACAGCCCGAGCAAGAGAACAAGATTCTGTCTCTAAAAAATAAATTAAAATAAAAAATAAGAGTTTTGGGCTGGGTATGGTGGCTCACATCTGTAACCCCAGCATTTTGGGAGGCTAAGGAGGGAGGATCACTTGAGTCTAGGAGCTTGAGACCAGCCTGGCCAGTAAGACGGAACCCTGTCTCTACTAAAAATGCAAAAATTAGCCAGGTGTGGTGTGGTGGGCCTGTAATGCTGGTACTCCAGAGGCTCACGCACAAGAATCATTGCTTGAACCCAGGAGGTAGAGGTTGCAGTGAGCCAAGATCGTGGCTACTGCACTCCAGCCTGGGTGACAGAGTGAGATACTGTCTCAAAAAATAAAATAAAATTAAATTAAAATTAAAAAGTTTTGGACTAGTCATCTAAAAACAATA